GAAGCTGGCAGAAAAATCAATATTCCGCTAGACCAACCACAGATAGAGACACAGCCATCTGGTAAGTGTGTCCTGAAATTGTAAAGGGACTTCTAAGCCTATTAATCAGTTTTCTTGGACACATTCTACTAGCCCTTCAAGGCCCACCCTTTCTGATTTGTCCAAGCTCTATACTAAGTTCTGCCTCATCTAAACCTGACTTACTTGGCAGGCAGTAAGTATGACTTTTTGTTGGTACTTCCTATAGCAGTGGTCCCCAACCTTTTTGTGGAAGAGTTTTGTGGAAGACAGTTTTCTCAAGGTTGGGGGGTGGAGGGATAGGGATGTTTTCAGGATGAAACTGCTCCTACCTCAGATCATCAGGCATTAAATTCTCATAAGGAGGGCGCTACGTAGATCCCTCACACGTGTGATTCACAACAGGGTTTGCACTCCTGAGACTCTAATGTTGTGGCCGATCTGACAGGAGGTGGAGCTCAGGCAGGAATGCTCACTTACCTCCTGCTGTATGGCCTGGTTCCTCACAGACCAGGAATCAGTACTGGTCTATAGCCCAGTAGTTGGGGACCCCTGTTTCTATAGGATCAAGTCACCAACTCTGTGGTGTTTTATGAGAGAATGAACTGTATTTCAGGTGTTTTTTGTTTTTATTTCAGATGTTTTAGTTGGCATTATTTGGTAGCAAGTAACAGCCTTCTGGCTTAAGAAAAAGCTGGGGAGTCTCTGTAAGATTTTAAGGCTATCTTGTGGAACCCCAGGAAGATGAAATGCAGACAGTGAAATGCAAGATACTGGAACAAACACTGCAAAGTTGTCAGGAATCAAGAAATTTTTTTCTTCCGGGGTTGAATGTCTCTCATCTTTGCTTTCTCTTTCGGCTTCCCATGTATGTTCCAGATGTAACCTCCCAAGACATCAGTTTTTCAACTCCAAATTCTCAGAAGAAATCATCTAATTGGCTCAACTTTAATCAAATATCCACTCCTTGTCTGATTTCTGAACAGCTCCTCAATGAAAGTGGCAGGAAAGTAATGCTCAGAAAAGGAATACAAGTTGGGCAGGTATCCCAAAAGGTCACTAAGCCAGTAATTCCTGTATTTCCCAGTTGTCTATTATAATCGGAGGCTTACACTTTTTTTTTTTTTTGCAGGGGAAGGGTAAAGGGGAGAAATAACTGCATTTCTCTGATGGCCTTTCCCAACCTTAAAAACTGCTTCAATGCTAAAATTTATCTTTTAGTCAAAATGAACCTGAAGATTCTTTGGGTGGTTTTTAGAAATGTTAAAATAGGATGGAATCTTACATAGGGGTGTAATTTCTTCAAGAAAAGACATTTGAGTGCTTCAGTCTTTTCTTCTTACTCCATCCTGATGACGGATGAAAGTTTAGGTTCCAATTCTTTTCACATTCTTGCATTAAAAACAAGATTTCCCCCGATTTTCGAAAAAATCAATGCATGAACCACAATGAAAATTCTAAAACACTTTACTACAGAAAAATGGAATCCCCAGAGTTAAGGGGGAAGGAGGGCATCAGAAGGAGGTTACCATTTGAATCTCTTCAGGCACTATGCTAAATGCTTGTATTTTATTTATTTTTTGAGATGGAGTTTCGCTCGTTACCCAGGCTGGAGTGCAATGGCGCGATCTCGGCTCACACCGCAACCTCCGCCTCCTGGGTTCAGGCAACTCTCCTGCCTCAGCCTCCTGAGTAGATGGGATTACAGGCACGTGCCACCATGCCCAGCTGATTTTTTGTATTTTTAGTAGAGACGGGGTTTCACCATGTTGACCAGGATGGTCTCAATCTCTTGACGTCATGATCCACCCGCCTCGGCCTCCCAAAGTGCTGGGATTACAGGCATGAGCCACCGCGCCCGGCCCAATACTTGTATTTTAATACAACAATCCTATGAGGAGGTAGTGCATTGCTAGCCTCTTCATGGATGATGAAAATCAGGTTTTAAGAAGGTAAGAAAACTATCAATATCACACATCTAGTATGTAGCTTAGCATAGACTTAGAAGCAAGAGTTAAAAGGTGAAAAACGGGGAGAAGGGCTGAAGAAGACAGGCCTTCTCAGGATATCATTAACATCAAAAACTGTATCTTAAAAACAATGAAGTGGCATAAATCATGTTATGACAATATATATGACAGCTTTTACAAAACTTTTTAAAAAATACTCCTATCATGAAGACTTTTTTTTATATAACATCAAATGAAAGCAACAGGGGGGAAAGAAAAAATCTTGCATATCCTTTAGACTACGACTTTGTTATGTGTATTAAACCCTAGATTTGGCCAGGCGTGGTTGCTCAGGCCTGTAATCCCAACACTTTGGGAGGCCAAGGTGGGAGGATCATTTGAGCACAGGAATTGAAGGCCAGCCTAGGCAATACAGTGAGACCCTAACTCTACAAAAAAAGTTAAAATTAGCTAAGCATGGTGGTGCACACCTGTGGTCTGAGCTACTTAAGGGGCTGACGGAAGTGGGGAGGATTGCTTGAGACCAGTCTGCAGTAAGCCATGATTGCACCAGTGCACCCATCTGGGTGACAGAGACAGGCCCTGTCACAAAAAGGAAAAAAAAACAAACCCTGGACTTGAATTTTTCTGGGGAGAAGGCCTATGATCCCAAAAAGATTAGAAATCACTGATAAAAAAAAATTCTTTTGCAATCTGGCAGCCCCCGTTCAAAATTTTTCCACTTCATCCCTCACAAAGTCCCCCATCACCCAACATACCACACTGTACCTTTGCCAACGCCATTTCTGCTGCTGTTTCCCAGACTTCATGCGGAATTCTCCCTCTTCTAGATTTCTACAGTACCTTATATCTGACACTAATACATATTTACATTACATGCAAACCTGTCTGAACAGGGCAAGGAGCCAATCAATGTATTTTTTTTCAACACTAAATAAAACTGAGGTGATTTCACTAAAATATCAATTTTTATACCCCAAATACCAATCAACTAATTTGTTTTGGGCTTGTCAGACAACAAAAGACTTAGTACTCATTCATGGCAGTCAGTTTTAAACATACTGTTTAGTGAAAAATAATTTTACAACGAAAATGATTGTTACCAGCTTCATGAAATTAAAACTGAAAACCAAATTGTGTAACAGGTAGCATGACTAACATGTCAGCTTGTATATTTTAAAACCAAATGTTATTCCATAATCATTTATGCAACAACCCCAAACTTCAAACAATATTGAACACAATACAAATTTTTCATAAAACAAAACTTTTGGATCTCGAGTAGCCAGTACTAAAATTTAAACTACAATTAAGAGCCTAAGGGGATGCCTGCTCAAAGTGATTCTAACACAGCAGCGTTTAACAGAACCACTTGAGCCAGCTGTTTCAAAACACATATACACACTCCATCCGCAGATATGATTTAGTAAGCTGAGGCGGCTGCCAGGCCTATGGAATCTTTAAAATGCTCTCCAGCAATTTCTGATGAACAATACTGTTTAAGAACTATTTCCTATGAAATAGATTTGACATGCTTTCAGCTTATACGTATGTGTATTTTTAAGTATCTTAAGCATTGCCACTATTTTCAAAGACTAAAGTTATTGACAGGGTATCTGACTTTCTGCAATAGGTGTAGCACCTTGAAAAGGTTACGCCCTTTCCGGTTGAGTCACTTTTCAAAGTCTAGAGTCTCAATCTACAGAAAATGAGATGCTCTTTAAAAGATACTTTCTTAAATTAAAATTTGAGGTACAGAGTACAGGTAATCCAGTCCACTAAATGTTACAATAGGATTTGTACATATATTCAATATGCACTAACTCTAGCCTTTACAAAAATAAAGCAATTGACAAAACACCTATTAGAGTATACCTACCCTGAGAAATATTATATTCATATACAATACTAATAGATTTTATAACTAGAAAAAGTTGACATCAGAGCAAATCTTCAAATGTTTCCAGAGTATAGTCAACATTTTAAAATATAAAAATAGAAATATTTAAAATTACCTACAGTGAGGTTACATAACTTTGATTGGTAAAAGTTTCAAAGTTCACTAACATATTCCTAGTGAGCCCTAAAAAAATCTAAAACTTTAATTTTCAAGACTACTTATTTTCTTCATTGCATTCATTCTCTCTGAATTTACAAAATATGCATGGAAACCCATGTATTAAAAGTACACTATAAACTTCCTGTAAAAATTCAGTATTACTTAAAACATCTCTACCATCACTCAAATGATTTATTCTGACTTAAATGGGAAGTTTGCTCAAGTGAGCCACGTCCTCAATTCTCTTCACATTAATCTTAATTTAAAAATTCTAAAAATTACCTAAAGGAGTTTAAAGATCCAAAATCTAATCCAACTTCAAATTGTACATTTTAGCGGTTCATTTATATTATTCCAAGCAGAACTTCCTATTTTACATCACAAACTTAAGTCTCACATTTAGAAAAACTGTTCCTGTTTATGGTTATCGAGAGTTTTCCAATGCATTCCGCTATTGCTGAGAGTGTCAGATTGGGCCTGGAAAATCACACATTAATACTCTTCCTTCCTACTCTGCCTTTATTGTGATCAAACACACACAAATTCAAAACACAACTTTTTCAAGTAACTTCTGCCATGGTTACCCAAAGCTTATTTATCATTTTCAGGAATCTTAATGTAAATTCAGGTTTTCAATATTCTGCATTACGTTAAAAGGGCAAACAAACAAAAATTTGCAAATGGTACTGATAAAACTGGTATGAATCAATGTGGGCTAAGGGCTAACAGACTTTTTTCAAAATTGTATTTAATAAGCTCATTCTTACTTTAGGTAAAAAAAAAAAAAATTTAAATGATCAGTGTCTCCACATTTCTTCTTGAAATAAATATACCTCTTTACAATGGTCTAAAATCAAGAATCTAAAAACAAAAGGCCAAGTTGAAGAAAAATTAACCACAGATTCTTACCCCATACCACTACAATCTTTTTAATGCATAGGAATACAACAAACTCAAAAGAAAAAAAAAAATAGTGTTTTATTAACTACCACACTGTTATAATACACTTTAAACGTACAATAAGGTAGCCTTTAAATTTGAGGTGGTCTTAAGAATAACAAATGAACAGAATTCCAAATTTTTGAAATAGGTGAACTGCTGCAGTTATAGGTATACATTTAGGAAAATTGTATAGCTCTTACAAGACCAGCAATGTAACTTTATTTTGTACATTTTTAAATTGAAAATATAAACAATAATTAAAAAATAAAAAGAAAATACAGCATAATAAAAAACATACGTTTCTCAATTAAATGTACTGGATACATATAAATTTTAAGGGAAGAAGCAAAAAAGGAAAATGATTGATATTTAAGTGCAGACTGACTACCTAGACAAAAAAAAAAAAAAAAGACAAAAAAATATCATAAAACCTCTAGTTTTTCTATGACTAATATCCATACGGTTGGAGTAGTATCGTCACTATGGAAGTGATTTTGTTATGTTTGCATATGTTATACTTTACTGGTAATTTACATGATGGCTTTTAAGGCCCTGGGAGACATGGTTTTTGGAAACAAGATTGGATAAAAATCACTGCTAAGACGCAATACACCTTATTTTTTTTGGTCCTCCAATAGTCAAGAAAAGGGATAATTCACTATAACATTTTCTTACCACCCAAATGCCTCAACCTATACATTTTAAACTTTTTTAAACCTTGGTTATATTGCCCCAACTTCGTTATTGAAAGAATATTAACAAGACATTATTTTGGCAAATTAAATCTTAGACATGGCTTTTCAACAGGATTTAAAAGGTGACTATCCCTAGAGAGTTCCATGTTAAAATGTAGTTTTCAAAATCTTACAAGAGTAATGCTTAAAATATTGTACATAGTTAACCTAATTAAAATAATTAGCTTCAAAATGACAAATTGATAAGCTAAGTAAAGCCTACACTATGTAACATTTGCTTGGAAACTTGATTTGTCAGTTATGCATAATAAAAATTCCAGTCATCAAGAAAATTACAAAATTTTTTTTTATCATAACATGATTTCTTTCACCCACCAGCTTTTTTATCTTACAATAGATAAATACCAACATGTTCTTATTTTTACACTAAACCACACAGGATTGATGCATTTGGTTAGACTACCATTCGCATTGTTAAATTCAATTTTCTCTTTATATAACTTGGTAAAATTTCATTTCTTCTAGATTCCAAAAGTACCTACAAAACCCATGCAATTTTACCATTTTTAATATACTATGGAATATCATACAAAGTAAGGCATTTCAGTGTCATGTATAACCAAGTTACTGTCAATCCAAAAATTTTTGCACATCAATAAAAAGATATCTAAGAACTTAGGAACAATATTCTTCTCACTACTGTATAAAAATAACCACAATGAATAAGTATTTGTGTAATATTTACTCCATTGTCTCATTTCCAGAAACTGTGACAAGCTGTAAAGGTATTTCAGTGTTGGTAAGGATATCTTGATTGCTGGTGGCGGAAGTATTAACAGTTCCTATCCCTGAAACAGAACCTTGTTGAATATTTGCAAGGATAAGTGTTGTTCCTCCTGCAGTAATCAAAGTATCATCTCGTGCAGCTTCCACAGATGCCAGCACTGTACTGCTAGAGTGAATACCTTTTTTATTCTGGTGTGTTTTAATATGTTTGGCAAGGTGGTCACTTCTCATAAAGCGTTTTGAACATTCTGGACAAACAAATTTCTTCTCACCTGTTAAGAAAAAAAAAGTTACTTAGTTTTAAAAATTCAACTGTAATAACACAATCATCTCCCCCAAAACAGAAAGCAAGTCAATGCTGGTATCTGAGGATGGGAGTAGGGGTCTATTATAATTGTATTTGTTGTATGAGCTACCCCTCAAAATATTTATCCTTAAAATAAATCTTTCATCTTTACTTTTTGACGAATAGCAATCTTCAAACATGCACTATATAATAGACGGATATTCAAATAAGACTTTAATATCTCAACTAAGTTTGTCTGAAACACCTGTGTTAAGACGCCAGCTAAAAATCACCTATAACACGCTTTTTTAAAGTCTAAATAAAAGTATATTCTTTCATGCTGTAATTAAAATACTGCCATGTCATATTCATGATACTAAACCTTCCACTCTTAAGTATAAAATAAAGTAATAGGGTACTTCTAGATTAAAGAAATGACACGACAAGCTTGAGATCCAAAAAGAATGAGTAATCCCTAGAATAATGAATCTGGCTAGTTGACTTGATTTCAGTTGGAACAATCAAGAACAAAGACTAATATGTCAAGATGTTAAAGTTGTTAAAACCCTGATGCCTAAATTTATTTCCCAGCATGAATAAAATAAGTTTAAATATAAAAGACAGACTGAATTTCTATTATATTGAAGACCTACTCTGCAAGATTACTAAAAAGACGACAAAAGGCCAACCTAAAAGGAATTCAGAGAGAAATCAATCAAAATCAATCAATAAATCTAGTTAATATTTTAATTCTTTTCTTCAAAAACTTCTTACCCTATATCTTTTGTTCCAGCACCTCTACTCTACATAGGTCTTTATCAGACCTCATGCTTGAACTATACTTGCAGTCACATCCTAGTCTCACTCTCTCCAGACATTAAGGACCAAATATTACTGCATCAGAAAACTTCATTATTGTATTAAGTGATATGGAAATGCAAGGGTAACTTGCAGATGACGTAACAGTTTAGATGCTCCACTGCCTAATTTACAAGGATCTCTAAAATGTGCCTAAATCCTACTTAACAAAAATGTTATGTAAAATTTCATCCTCATTCACTGCTACAAAAAAATGGTCTCCCACCTCTTCTATTAACATACCACCATTTTTCTAGGAAACTATTTCCCACTTTTTCTTGTAACATTATACTCCATGGCAAACGGCTCAATGATCAAACAAGATTAGGAAATGCTACACACATTACATCACCCACTTATAGATGCAAGCTGTTCACCTATGCATTTAATTTAAAGGTCCTAAGAGGTACTGCCCTTGAAGGTATTTGCACCCTCTTTGGCCCACCATTTCCCACACTTATGTGATCATAGACCCTTTTTCTCCCTTTTACATTATTCCTTTTTACATCCTGCTGATAAAATCCTACTGAGGAAAATTCTGTTACAGGGCCATCTTAAGGTCTATTATCCCATACTTTACGATCCCAAGCAATAATTATCTCTGTTTCTGAGTCTTTTCAATAGCACAGACTACAATGCAAAATCTTTTATCTACTTTTTTTTGAGACAGGGTCTCACTTTGTCACCCAGGCTGGAGTACGGTGGCATGACCTTGGCTCAGTGCAACCTCCGCCCCCTGGGAGGTGGAGGCAATCCTCCCACCTCAGTCTCCCAAGTAGCTGAGGCTAAAGGCTCACATCATCATGTCCGGCTATTTTTTGTATTTTTAGTACAGAAAGGGTTTCACCATGTTGCCCAGGCTGGTCTCAAACTCCTGAGGCTCAAGCAATCCGCCTTCCTTGGCCTCCCGAAGTGCTGCAATTACAGGCATGAGCCAGCATGCCCGGCAGCCTCATCTACTTTCTTGTCTACTGCAGTTTCATATACATTAATCTCATATACCTACCCAATGAGAAACAGGAACTAAAACAATCAGAGCAACTGTGTACTACTACAGACCTCACAGGTAATTTTATTCAACATTGAAGGCCAAAGTAGGAGGCGTGTGACAATGTCAGAGATAGTTTATTCACTTAACCTAATAAGCAACTTGGATTAGAATCCAGATGACTTTAAAATCCATCTTGTTCTCCATTTCACCATACTTCTTTCAAGCTCTCTAGGGATTATAAATACGTATTTTTCAATTCTCCAGTGTTGAGCATAGACTGATGAACACTTTTAATCATTTACATGGTAGTAAGAGAAAACTATCTCTAAGTTACACTGTTAGGTTTCAGTGTGGATCAGTCATAGGTCTATTTCATTTTACAACCACACAACACTATATAAAAATAATATAACGAGAGAAAGTCTTCACATCAACAATGCCTTGGTTACTACCTTACCTCAGACATACTAAAAACAAAAGAAAAGGTGAAATACCCAAATATATCAGAAGAAACAGGATTATTCTTTGTTATAGTGCAAAGGAGAAAGAAAAAATAGGATAGATCAAGAGTAAAAGCTGACAATTTAAAATGTCAACAGAATAAAAATAACATAAATGTGGCTTAAAACATTCAATAATGTCAACAAAGCTAACCAAAGTCTACATAAAATAAACTTTATTTTAGAAGGTAAGCCATACTGACTTGTCCTTCGGAATTTGTGTTATTAAGATGGTGTTACTAAAGGGAAAAATTTGATGTAATTCATTGTATTTGAAAGATTTAGTTCAGTAAGGAATGCTTAAAAAAAAAAAAAAAAAAAAAGTCAAGGCAGTTATGTAGCCCTATAATTCATTTTTGTTGGTTAAAAGTTAAGTATTAGTAACCTGTATGTGTTCTTCTGTGCCTCTGTAATTCATCACTTCGAGTAAATCTTTTACCACAGTACATCCAGTTACAAACAAAAGGGCGTTCTCCAGAATGCCAACGCAGATGAGCTCTCAGATGTGAGGTCTTCCCATAGACTTTACCACATCCTGGTATATGACAAATGTGTTGCTTCTTTTTCCCAAGATTGGTACCTCTAAAAAACACACACAGAATAATATATACTTATATGAAAATATTCAAATGGACATTACCATTTATGTCCTATAGCCCCGTGTCTAATTTTAAATAGAAGACATTAGCATTATGAAGTCAATCAGAAACCATGTAAAATCAGTTTAAATGGAAATTTATATATTTCAAGCATATACATTTTATATATTAATCTTACTGCAGAATGTGATTGTTGTCCAAATGTAAATATGCCCAAGAATTATGTAATTAAAAGGACATTTCATATGTAAAGAATGTACAATAAAGCTATTTCTTCTTCTGTAAGAACCATTCACAAATCCTATGCATATGCCTGATCCAATTAATTATATAGGAAACTAAATGTGATCTGTAATCAAAAGTCATGGTGTCAGATAATCAAAAACATATTTAAACCAAAGAATGAATGCGTAACTGATCACAGGTACAATTAAAAGGTATAGGCAGCATTAGCAGACTTTAACATGATTTAAGCATATTTATTCATATTTGTGTGGCCACACCCTGAATATACACTGACTTGCAGAAAGCTTTTTTTTTAAATCTAGCTAAAGCTATGGACTGAACTCCCTTAGCATTAGATGAAATAAATACAAATCAAAATTATCTTTACATTTAAAATTCCCTTCATATTAACCACATAAAAGATATCCAAAATTAGACATAAGAAATATAATACAGTTTTCTCAACATCACATAATTTGACATTTATTACATTTCAGTATTTAAAACCAAGAGCAGGGTTTAGAAGATATATTAGATGGGTGAACAGAGGTATCTTAGCCTAAGCAAGAAGAAAACTTTTTTGATTCCAGAATTGATAATCTGAATAGTATTAAACATCACAGAAATGTTATTTTCTCAACCTTAAAAAAAAAAAAGGCTAGTTACTGATTAAAAATAAATTAGTTTTTTGAAAACATGACAATTCAGACAAAACAATTTGTATAAACTTTACAATGTTTCTGAGTTTTAAAAAAAAGTACATTTAGCCCCCTCCCCAACACCCCTCCTCCCCCAATCTCACAGTCTAGGCATATCCTGTAAAACTTTCTATAGCCTGTAAATCCTCCTGTATACAATAAACCTATTGTTTTTCAAATTTACTGGAAAAATGCATATTTCCCCACATTTATATTTTAATGTACTCACACTCAGTAGCATGTGAAATTGCCATAGGACAAACAGTGCTAAACGGTGCAGTGCTGGCTGTTAGATGCCATAGGTGTTCTGAACAGGGAGACATCAATGTGGGCTCCAGTAGTTAGAGAAGGCTTCGTGGAGGAGGTGGGTAGGATTTAGATAGAAAGGAGGGAAGGCATTCCAGGCAGAGGAATAGCATAAGTAAAGACAAGGAGGAGTCATGCTGTTGTCTCAAGGGCAAGGATGTCATAAACTAACACAATTCTAGTTTCTGCTCCAGTCCACCCCCAATTTCTACAACTCTCTTCAAAGAGCTGAGTTGAGTGAAACAGGTTTTTCTGGCTCCCTTGCAATGCCAAAATCTTATTAACCAAAGCCAATATTGATTCCATTTAATTTAGCTTTTAAAATTCATTTCATTATTTAAAAAGCCCTAAGAAAAACAGCAATGTTTGTGGCTACTGGTGTACAAACCAACTTTACATATCGTGTTCACCATAGCAATTTCACAGAGAACCCAATTCAGTTCACTCATGTACTCATGATTTCATGCTTCTCCTCTAAGCCTACCACTCAGGTGAATCAATGCACTTTTACAAACTCAAAAGTGCATTTCACAAACTTAGCAAAATTTAGCATGGGAACACTAACAAAACACAAGACCAACAAATTAACAGCAACAAATCTGGGTTCTCAAAGAAGCAAGAAGCTAGGAAAGTATTTTCAACTGAATTATTAGGAAATAAATATTGTTTGAAAATGGGATAGGCGTCTAAGAAAGAAAAAAACACAGGGGCAGGGTTGCACATATAATTTAAGGAAAAAGCTGAACATCCAGACCCAAAAATCTATTTAAAAAAAAATTTGATTCAAGATTAAGATACAGATATGGTAGATGTGGATTTATGGCATGTTATATGAAGGCTGGAAGGGAGAACTCAAGTGAATTTCTCAACAAACTTCAGGTAAGAAAAGATTTAGTATTCTGTTTTCTTCTTGATTAATATCCACACCACTAATGCCTATAATATATGGAAAACAATTTTACATTTTTATTCTTGAGTGTCTAAACTTGTTCCCAATAATTTAATAATGCTAATACAGAGTGGAAGCTAAATGGTGGGTAGAGGGGTTAAGAAAAGTTAAGTAAATACACTCTCTCTGCTCAGGGTAGGAAAAACAAGACAAACTGAAATGCTGACAAAGAAAACAGATTGTGCACAATAATTTTTAAAATATGGACTGATGTTTAATCCATACAAAAACTATATATCAATAATGCCTCCAGAATTTATTTTTCTTGTAATTATTTGTCTCTCACTAGGTTATCTCTCACTAAGTTAAACAGTCTCTGAAAGCTGGTTCTGCTCAATAAGTATTGGCTAAATAATTACAATTTTTAAAGATTTAATTATATTTTACACCTTACTTTAAAAGGCAAACAAAATTTACTTCTCTAAAGATGAATAAAATTTGTTCTCTAAAAATGCCACCTTGCCCATATTCTTTTTTTAAAAAAAAATGGTTGCAAAAAAAGACAAATATTCTAAAAAATATTAACTACTACCTATATCACCTTGCAGAATACTTCAGAATAGTTTGGATTTACTACATATATTATGCTTCTATTAATTAGATACAATTGTCATTTATTCAAGTGTGTCTATCACACATATACTACTTGAATTTTGTTCAAACAAGCTCTAAGAAACAATATAGTTTCTTTTCTTAGGAATCTCAATTTTTATTGTTTAGAATACGTAAGCTATTAAAAACCGAAGTCACAAAAGCTCTAGAAAAAATATAAATGAACATTTTTATAATCCTCAGGATAAGGAAAACTTTCAATGGCAGGGTAACAAGGCATCTAAAAGGAACGGCTGATCAACTTGTAATTTTTGTGCTTAAAAATGTTTGCAAGCTGTAGGTAATGGAACTGTTTACTTGTGTAGTAACAGTGCATTCTGTAAACCACTGACAAAGCCAATGTAAAACTGGGAAAAAAATATCTGCACATGACAGTTACATAAATTAACAGATTCACCAAAAAAAAAAAAAAAAAAAAAAAATTTTCACAAATTTTAAAATGGCAAAATAACATCCCCAAAAATGTTCAATCTCACCAAGTAATTTTAAAATATACTAAATAAGACAACATTAAGGTATTTTTCATCTGCCAGACTTTCAAAGGTTAAAAAAAATTGTAAAATCCATTGTTGGCAAGGGTATGGGAAACCAGATATTCTCACACACTGCTGGTTAGCGTATAAACTAGCCTTACTAGCAGACAATTCCCTTTAACCCAGCAATTCCACTCCTGCCAACTTAAACAAATAATCAGACAAATGTGCGAAGACAGACGTGTAAGATTATGACAAATAATAAATTTCCAACAAAAGATGTTAAATTATTCTACATCCATACAATAGAATACTATACAGCCATAAAAATAATGCAGACTATGTAGACTTGAAAATATGGTCACGAAAATTCTCAAAACAAGAACAGACATAAAACAGTGAGAATAAAATGATTCTACTTTAAAATACACGTAACATCTTGAAGGACATATACAAAAATGTTACTAGCTTATCTTGGAGTGGGGTAGGGTTTTGGTGTTTTTAAATGTCCTATATTTCTAAATTTTTGAGCATGTGTTAGTTGAATAAACATAAATTAATTAAAACATTTTTATTTTAAAATAAAGAATAAATGAAACAAAGGGCCAGGCTTCTGTTAGATTTGACTTTTGGGAATAATTTATCTTAAAAACTCCTCTAAAATGAGTTTCAAAAAAGTTATTGCCTAGCCAGAATTCACACATTTTAACTGACCAAAACATGTCAAAAAACAAAATTTTAAACTAATTATAATAAACATGAATACCTAAGGATCCCATGTAGAAGGAGGGTCACTTGGGAGGCAGTATAGTTTAATGGTTAATGCTCTGGAGTAAGAAACTAGGTCCGAATCCCTGTTGTATGTGCTCGAGAGTCATTTAACCTCTCTATTTCTCACCTGTAACACCGTCAGGAATACAGTAAGCGCTCAATGTTACCAGCTGTTAGTGATTATTATTACTGCAAAGGGCTGGTCAATGTGCAACTCAAAGGCAGATGGAAAAGCTCTATTAGATCAAGTTTAACTGTGTTAAAAGAACATTCTATGTACTTAAAACAGTGCATTTCTAAGAGAGGTATGCTAACTTTCAACATGACAAGGGATTTGGTTAGCTACGGCTTTAGAGTTCTACCTGTTTTTGCTCTATATAGTTCAAAGCTGCACAAAAAAAGGACCATGACTATTAAATCTTCCTAGTGGAAATTTAGTATTATTAACAAGAAATATCTCTCTGTCCTATTTGGGGCTTTCACCTCAATCCCACCTTGTGTGATACAGTAACACTGCTATCCAAGTTCTCTTTTTGTTAATACTTGCCTGATAAATCTTTTTCCATCCCTCCCCTTCAATATTCCTGTCAATTATTTGAGGTGTTCCTTATAATCAACATCAGTCTGGATCTTGTTTTTTTAAAAATATGATCTGAGTCTCAATCTCTTAATTATTAAGCTTAGTATATCGACATTTAATAACTCATCATTTTGAGTTTACTCCCATCATGTTATTCCAGTCTTAATGTTTATCAAAAAGACTGAATTGAAATACAATCCCATTTTTTTAAAAATTCAATCTATTAAGGCTTTTCACTTCTATTGAAAATGGAAATACTTAGGCTTATCAGCCATTTCTGAATGTCTTAATTTTTACATAACTGCTATTCTCAACCTAATAACTTTTTATCTATATTTAGGCAAATTCCATTGCTGGTTTGCAAATAGGCTAATTTCTGATATGGGCCTGTTAAATGGCATCTGCTATACTGTTTTTGAAACAGCAAACTAATAATTTTAGTTTAAAAAGCATTTAGAACTGAAAATCCAATTGCATGTATTTTGCTCTCTGACTTCTGCCACACGCGCACACACACACCCAAAATGATCATGTAATGAATAATTTCTCATAATTAAATGACACAACATGCAGTACTTCAAAAATTAGGATGATATTAACACTCTTAAAAATATATCATGTTTCGTGTATGCATACCTCCCACCACCTTCTTTACAGTTGGGACAAGTGCAAGCTACCCTCCGAAGTCTTTTTCCTTCTTGATGTTGTTGGTCCCCTTCTTCATCTACCACTTGTACTCTTAAATGTGTTAGGTCATTGGTATTCAAGGTAGAATCACCACTGAGCTGCCACTCTTCAGGATCAGGTTCTTCTTCCTTGATCCTAATATCTAAAGGGGGAGGGGGGAAGAAACGAAACAAATGAGAAGCAACCCAATGGCCCAAAAAGACAGCATGAAATCTGAGCCACTTGAAAGTAAAGAGAATATTATGTAGAAGTTAAAAATAATCCGTGGAGTATAATCACTGCTCCTCTTTGTGGCCTATTCTGTTCAAAATAATCTATTTTCTAAGTATCAGAGATTAAACCAAAAGAGGAATATAGCCCAAAAAAGCTTACTTTTTAAAATATTCAATAACAAAAGCAGGTAATATTTATTGAGCAAGTTGAGTCATAAACTAAAAGCAATCTGAAACTTCAATTATAATTGTTTGATTAGTCAAAAAATCCAAGAATCAATTCAGACTGGAATAAATTCTAATGCCTTTAATCTCTTTCACAACTTGCATCCTTGCCTATCTGCAGGTACTATATGAATGCAAATGACGGTACAATTCACTTGAAACTGTTACAAACTTAAGCTTTAAAGTCAATCATTACTAAAATATCAGTAACAGCCAAAACATTATTAGGGAAGGCAGTATAGAAATATGAGACAGCTTCTGTTTTCAAAGAGGTTTATCATAAACCAGATTGGGAAATACAATGAGCATGCAATAGTGAAAAACCATAGACATGGTAGAAAGTCCTATCACTTTTCTGGTGAGCCAAACATCTTCATTTATCATCTATAATACATCATTTGCTAAGTGAAAACTAAGAGATCCATTGAGGCTTTTTTCATTTCAGTAAATTATTTTTTTAAAGGAACAATTAAACACTGAACATAACCATCTTTGTTGAAGCGTAATTATCTTAGGAAAAACATAAATTCCTGCAAATTTTCATTTTGACATATGTAAACTAAAACTCTTATTTTAGAACTATAATACTAATATTCAGGGTAAAAATAGCCTTAAAAATCAAAAGTGCCTAGTAACTCCTGAATTTATACTAATGAAAACTAGAATGTATAATCAATTGTCAAGAAAATTACCTCAAATAATTTAGAACAAAAGTTTTTCAGAACAACCACATCAAAAATCAAGGAGAAAATAAATGGGAAGAAAGGAGACTGTGGCCTGGGCAACAGGGTAGGCAGTGGTGCCTTTCACTGAGATATGAAGTACTGGAGAAGGTTGAGGTGGAGGCAGGCAGTTAGTTCAAAGTTGAAGGTCTCTGAATTAGAAGTGTTCGTGAGACATACAAGTAAAAAAGTTGGCCCTAAAAGTCTGTATGTAGCTCAGAAAGAGAAGTATGTGCCAAAGATAAAGAACTGGGATTTATCAATAGATATACAGTGAGATAACTATTCAAAGAACTAGTTTAGAGTCAGGTACAATGGCATGCCTGTAACTCTAGCTACTTAGGAGGCTGAGGGGGTAGGATCACATGAGCCCAGGAGTTCGAGGCTACACTGAGGTATGATCACATCATTGCACTCTAGCCTGGGCAAGAGGGAAACTTGATTTTTTTTGTTTGTGGGGGTGGAGGGATAAATGAAAAAGAAAAGAACTAGATTAGATCACTCAGGGACTATGAGTAGCAGAAGATGAGAAGGTGGCCTATGAGGAACACAAACATTTAAGGAACAAGACAGAAGCCAGGAAAATGTGCTACCACAAAAGATAAAGGACTGTGTTTCAAGAAAGAAAAAAGTGGACAACATCAAATGCCACATGTAAGAAACCGACTAAAATAGTGAGCAAGGGCTAGGCATGATGGCTCATGCCTGTAATACCAACACTACTTTGGGAAGCCAAGACAATAGGATCACTTGAGACCAGGGATTCAAGACTAGTCTGGGCAACAGTGAGATCCCATTTCTTCCAAAACACAAACAAACAAACAAAAAAGTGAGCAAGAAGTGAGAAACATTAATGATAACAAGTATATCATCTTTTTCAAGTCTGAGTTTTGCTCTTGTTGCCCAGGCTGGAGTGCAATGTCACAATCTCGGCTCACCGCAACCTCCACCTCCCGGGTTCAACCTATTCTCCTGCCTCAGTCTCCCGAGTAGCTGGGATTACAGGCATGTGCCACTACACCTAGCTAATTTTTTTGTATTTTTTAGTAGAGACTGGGTTTCTCCACATTGGTCAGGCTGGTCTCGAACTCCTGACCTCAGGTGATCCACCCACCTCAGCCTCCCAAAGTGCTGGGATTACAGAGATGAGCACTATGCCCAGCCTAGACACCTTTTTCAAGAAGTCTGGTTAAGAAAGACAGAAACATGGCAATAAAAGTCAAAAAGAACACAAGGAAACGAGTGGTGGTATTTTGGTTTGAAAGATAGGAAAGGAGAACACTGTTTAAAACCTTAAGGGAAACCACTACAGAGGAAGAAGTTGAAAACACAAGAGTGAAATCCCTCAAGTGAGAAGGTTGTCAGGAGTAGATGACAATCCAAAGCACTTACAGGTTTAGCTGATGGGGCACAGGTACCTTCTCCTCTATTAACATTGAGGGAAGAAAGGATAAAGGCACATCCATTCATCCAATAAACATTCACAATTATCTACTATGTGCTACAAATTGTGCTCTGCCCAGATGCAGAGTGAATATGATTTGAAAGCTGAAAACTAAGGAACTATAAGAGATCCAACCCTGTTGTGTCTATATATATTCTCAGTGAAGAGGTGAAGAGTCAGGTATGTGTAAAATCCTTACCGATACACAATAATTGAGTCTTAACCTCTGTTCCTTTAGTCACCTCCAACACTATGTCAAAACATTGTACAAATATTGCACAAAACTAACTTTTACAAGCTGAATACAAGATAGTATATAGATTATCACATATACAGTTGAATACATTTTAAGTCCAAAACATGAAGAATTTTATCAGATGTTTTAAAAGCTGCTTATTTAATTTTCAACCTTTTGAGTATTTATTTGTGACGTTATTTGTAACAAGACAGTAAGGAAAAAAAGCAAGACTGGATGAAGAGGTCTTAAATTTATAAGAGGGGCTTAAAGACAACACAGAACAAAAAAAGTAACTGATGAGAGAGGAAAAACATGAACTGCAATTAGACTAAGGGAGTGAAGATATAATAGGACATTCTTGCTCTTCCCTGTTGCTAATTATCTTACTGGAACCTACAAAACACGTTTAAAAAAATGTGTCATGGACATAGCCACTTATACAACTTAGTTTTCTTTCTTACTGCATCTAAATAGACCAGAGGTACATAGAATTTAACATGCCTAAACTGAATTCATCTTGGCCATCCACCAAACCTTCTCCTTGTATCCCCTTAGGAATAATGAACCTAACTACTCTATCAACTTCAGGTGAGTCCTGTCAGTCCGTTCCCAAGCCTCTCATCTCTCTTTCTCCAACCATTTTTTACACAGCTTCCCCAATTTTCTTCCTAAATAAAAATTCAGCCAAGCACAGTGGCTCACATCTGTAATTCCAACTACCTAGGAGGCTGAGGTGGGAGGATCACTTGAGGCTAGGAGTTTGAGACAAGCCTGGGTGACGTGGCAAGACCCCATCTTCAAAAATAAAATGTCGACAATTAGGCAAACATGGTGGCACACACCTGTAATCCCAGGTACTCAGGAGGCTGAGGCAGAATACAGCTTGAACCCAGGTGTCTGAGGCTACAGTGAGCTATGACAGCACCACTGCACCGTAGCCTGGGCAACAGAGCAAGACTATCTCTTTAAAAACAAAAGCTGAGGCCAGGCGCCGTGACTCAAGCCTGTAATCCCAGCACTTTGGGAGGCTAAGGTGGGCAGATCACAAGGTCAGGAGTTCAAGCCAGCCTGGCCAATATGGTGAAACCAACTCTACCAAAAATACAAAAAAAAAACAACCACAACAAAAAAAAAAAAAAAAAAAAAACAAAAAAAAAAAAAAAAAAAAAAAAACCCCAAAAAAAAAAACCAATTAGACAGGCGTTGTGGTGGGTGCCTGTAGTCCCAGCTACTCGGGAGGCTGAGGCAGGAGAATCACTTGAACCCCGGAGGCGGAGGCTGCAGTGATCGTACCACTGCACTCCAGCCTGGGCAACAGAGCGAGATGCCATCTCAAAAAAAAAAAAAAAAAAAAAAAAATTAACCGCATCACTTTCCTAACACTTGCACCAATTCTTTATTTTCTACAGGATAAAGTCCAAATTCATTAACTTGGTATTCAAGAATGCTCTTAATCTGATCCCATCTTGCTCCTCCAACTTTAATGTTAAAACACTGAAATTCTAATCATTATCAAAATACACATCCTCTCCCAATTTCACACCCTTGGCAAGCACTACTTCTCTTGCCTAGACTATTTTCTAGTTCTTTTGTTCTTAATCTAACCTCTTATCTATCCTTCAAGACTAGTTGGAGAGTAATAGCCTGCACACATGCCTATAATATAATTAATTATATTAATTGGTTCATATGTCCCTTTAGATAAATGCTTCACTCAAAGTTCTCAGAAAATACAATCTCCCTAAATGAACAAATCTTCCAATAATCTACCTGGAAAAACTTTGTCCTCTACTTTTCTATGCCCCTTTTACATGCAAATAATACATAGAGATGTTACAAGACTAAGTTCATACAGATGAAACTACAAGATGTTCACTAAAGACAATAAATTAATTGCCCAAAAAGTGTTATACCCAATTTCTAATCACTGCACTCATTCATACACATCTGGGTATATTTTCCAATTCTAACCATAAGATCAATTAATGTAGTAAGTCCTAAGAAATTCTCCTTTGCATGCCAACTTAATACAGATAACCTTAAAAATAAGTACTCAGTACCAGGCACTTAAGTTAATAACTTCCTTGGTATCTCAGTATAGATGACAGGAAAACTTTTTTTTTTTTTTTTTTAACTGTGCAGCATTAGTGTCCTACATGGTAGTTAGCTATTCTTAGAAATGCACTATTTATAAGGCTCAGGAGAAAGGAAGTAATAATCTATCAAAATGACCCATAAAGACACAAAAAGATACTCAACATTTTTAAATAACAGGGAAATAAAAATGTAATTCACAATGAG